ATTTCCGCTCCTTATCGTGTCCACATATAGTTGATGCACTGTTGCCTATGCTCGCGTCAGCTTTAACCTTCGCGTCTCGTATAATTACGCGCCCGGGTGGTCGGTTGAATGTAAGATTGGTTGGATGCGAGAATGGGGGTGTTGGGGTCGATTTGATGCAGGAAAATACAAAAAAATAGGATAACTAGACGCATTAAATTCACAAATTAAGTAGTGCTATATGCACACTCTAAGAAATCATCTGAAATTTATATGATTCCATCTAACAGTCTATTGCCATATCAGCCTGCACGATTCCGAGACTTGCCTCCTCTGACAAGGATGGCCTGAAGTTGACCTGCTACAAGTCAGCGAACTTGACACGCGCTCGGGTGGGGCTCAATTTGCCCCCTCCCCACCCACAAAGGCTTTGCGGTGCGTCGTAGACGCGCAACGTTTTTCAGAGTTGTAGGGCATTAAAAAGCGGATTTTGCCGCACCAGAAATCATATGAGCCTTGCAAGGTCGCTGAGCTATGGCAGGTACCACTCAGACCATGGCTGTCAGTGAAGGCAATTTCTAGTAAATCGTTTAATCTGATCCGACAGCGGATTGGTAGACGACGCCATACATCCCTGATATAGTTTCTTAGATAATGACGCAATTGCATTTGGAGTAACAACAAATCCATTGACCTTGGATTAGGTATGAAGGTCAGACAGACGCTAAAACCAGTCTGTTTTATACTGAAGACTGCTTTCCGGGGTGGTTCATGATGTTCATTTCGGTATTTTTAGCGGGGACGACAACAGACATCTTCCTTGGAGTTCTTAAAGGTCATGAAGGGCCATTGATCTAAAACGACCCAGATTAAGCTTTTGATTGTCTAGGAGCATACCGCCTAGCGTGATCCTTGACCCTTATAAAAATTCAAATATAAAAAGCCTCGTTGGTTTTTGGTCATCAAGACCCTCCTAAAATCAAACAATGTAACTGATCTAAAATTGACATCCGTGAGTTTTTGCTTATAACAGGTATCTAAGCCCAAGGCAGTTGCATAAGGAGGTCTAAGGACATTTTGGACACCAACCTGAAGCTTGACGTTGTTTGACCTTATTTGACCTGAAGGCCATGATCAAGGAACCTAAAATTTTGACACAAGTGAGTTCACATACGGGTCAAACGATCCTGTGAATTGGGCGTTTTCATCCTTTAATTTTCATATCTCAGGGGACCAAATTAACTCCCTTACCCCCCCCCCCCCCCCAACCAAGCGGGTCGTGTTCAGCCGGCTATCCGCGCGCGTGTTGAGAGACATACACGGTTTGTCCATATCAGAAGTTCGGCTATTTCACTGACTACTGTTATACAACGTTTGGCGTCGCTACACCCACCGTTTCCAAAGTTGTTCTGAAAACTTACAGGAGAAAATGTTATTCTGGAAAAACATTTTCAACAGCAGTTCCGTTACGTAACAGAGTAAAGGACTGTGCCCACCTAAGCCTCCAGGGTATTTACTTAAGGCACGAAGCTCACGGGGAGGGCGCAAAATGACTGCTGTAGGCGGAGTGCTCCTAAAAACCCAAATCATTATCGCCATGGAACCTGCAGAGGCGTAACATACGCGCAACATCTAACTTGCTTAGCGAATATTTAAGCCTAGAGCATAATGCAAGACATTCATTTCCACAGCAAGTTACTTGATGCGATATTATACGGTGGTTTTTTAAGACTGGAATTCTCATTTTTAGGGCTGAAACCCTTGTTTTCAAGATTCGAGCGTTCGCAAAATTAAAGTCTGTTCGAATCTTATCGGATCTTGCGAAGCCGAACCCTCAGCTCTATTTTATGCTCACTTCTTTTATCACTTCCTGTACAGCTTTTGTTTAGTGGTGACTCCAGCACCCTGGCCCTCGGTGAATAACTGGGGGGTATTACGGACAACGCCTTTATCTCATCTGAAGTTTCCTTACCGTCAGTGATCTCTCAAATTCAAAACTAATGTATGAACAGCCTCATTCCATGTTTGGGTCAGTTTTTGAAAGGAAAAATATACCAAAACAGTTATACAAAACCTAGGATGCTACTACAGGTTACATGCATCAATCAGACAGAATCTGTCCCCAGTATGAGATCCGGGCGGCGTGCAGGCATCTATGCAGCTCTGGCTCACATCACCGTCGCACTTCTCTCGTAGCTCTGGCTCATATCGGTGCCACGCTCCTCTCGCAGCTCTGGCTCATATCTCTGTCAAGCTCCTCTCGCTCGGCGTGTCCTCGCCGTTATATCTCCAGCAAGTTTTTCTTCGGAAAGCTGCGATTTCTTGTCTTAATATTGGTTCAGACACCATGGGAGAATTTCTTACTAACACATGTGTTTGTTGAACTGCATGTGAACCGCTGATGAGCTGCAATTCATTGTATTAAACATCTAATTACCGCGGTCACAAGCTGTGAGTCTGAGAAGCAGCAACAGATTGAACACACTTATGCACGCAATTATGAAGGTGATTGGCTCGAGTGGCGTACCTAGGATTTTACCTACGAGGTGTAGGGAGGCAGCCCCCACAGCACCCATGTCCATGTCAACATGGAAGCTGTCAACGTCCGCCACCGTTTCCCCATAACTTATATTCCCAAGGCCCAAACCCCCGAGTTTCCTAGACGCTAGGAAGCCCCATCCACCAGTTGTTAACGCACCAAACTCACTTGAAAATTTACCAAAACGTTAGGCCTCAAAATTAGCAGGCGGCAATTTAATGGGAGTCGATGACTGCGTACCCTGTTTTTGACGTTAACACAAGCGCTTATCCGTTAACGAAGGAATGTGGCCTGTTTATTCACGGATTAAGGACTTAACGAATTCATGTCCACCTGTGTTCAAATCGCGCCTGATGCGTGCCGACGGAAATATGTTTCTGTACGTACGCACGGCCTGTTTCTGCACTCTAGCTAAAATTCTAATGTCGTTCAGGTCGTCATTCGTCAGGTCACGGTCGTCATTCTAATGTCGACCGTGTAATCGGTCAGCATCAGGTCATTTGAGCTGTTTGCCTGTGTTCGTCCATCCCTCCGTCTGTCATTCCGTCTGTTCGTCCGTTCGTCCGTCCGTCTGTTTGTCTGTCTGTCTGTCTGTCTGTTTGTCTGTTTGTCTGTTTGCCTGTCTGTTTGTCTGTTTGCCTGTCCTTTCGTTCCTGTGTGTACGTACACACCGCGTTCGTGCCTGGCCGCGCGTGATTGTACGCACGTATGCATGCATGTACTTGTGCATTGATGCACGCATGCACGTTTATATGAATGTATGTATACAGGTGAGTATATATATATATATATATATATATATATATATATATATATATATATATGGGGTGTGTGTGTGGGTGGGTGCGGGTGAGTGTGTACAGGCATCGTGAACATCTGCATGTATGCATGCATGAATGTACGTGTGTAGGCAGGTAGATAGTTGGGTAGGTAGGTATGTGCGTATGTATGTATGTATGCATGCATATATCATGTATATGGACGGATGGATAGATGGATGGACGTATGGTTGGATAGTGTGATGGATGGATGGATGGATGCCTGCACTGTATGTGCTGTGGGCCCCTCATCTCTGGACGTCTCGTATATCGTATGTCTGCTATACCCTTTTCATTATCTCGTGTCGACCTATGATATGTGGATTTCAGGCTACTATCTCTGCCTGCTCTGTTAACATTTTCGTACGCGTCTTTCTGTCCGCGCGGTCGGCAGCTTTGCCTCTGCCTGCACTGCATACACTGATTTCCCTTCCTCGCAGTCAGCGCCGTCTGCGCCGTGCGTTCCGCGTGTCTGCCGGCACTGTTCGTACTGCCCCCCCCCCCCCCCCTCCCCCCTCCGTGGCCGTCTTCACCGCCCGCACCGTCTGCCGGCAGGCCGTGACGACGGTGTGCGTGCTCGCGCTGGCATCCTCGGCGCTGGCGGGCGACTCGAGGCGCGGTTGGCGGCGACGCCACAACAAGGGCAAGGAAGAGCACCACCACTACCACCACATCGTGCACGACCACTACACCCCGTACGCCCGCGGCTACGGATATAAGCACGGGCACAGCGACCACCACCACGGCCGTGGCTACGACCGCGGCTACGGTGGCCGCCACTACGACCGTGGCTACGATCGCGGCTACGGTGACCACTACTACGACTATGGATACGACCGCGGCTATGGCGGCTACCACGACCACAGCTATGGCAGCCACGGGCACGCTTCGCGCGGGACGAGCGTGCACGAGTACGTGGATTACAAGCCGCGCGAGAAGGCCGAGTACGTGCTGGTCGTGCCGCTGGGCGACATCGGGTACAGCCTGGGCGGGCACAGCTCGCGCTCGAGCCACAAGCGTGCTCACCGCTCGGTGGACGCCGCGCCGGGCAGCTACGGCGAGACGGGAGCGCCTCGCGGCCGCATTCGGGGCCGCGTGTCCCGCTCGGTCGGCGGCGCGGAGGGGCGCCGTCGCCCGGAGGCACGCGCTGGCCGGCGGCCGAGCGCCGCGAGGTTGGACCTGCGACAGCCACGACGGCAGGGCGTGCTGGACGAGGATAAAATGTGGTAGACGCTACGGAAAGACGCCGCGGAGGAGGCGAAGCAGGAAGTCGGGACTTGGCTCGAGTGAAATGGGTGCTTGCCGAGTCCACATATGTGCTGATGCGTGTGACTGTTGTGCGTGTTGCGCCCAGACTTCTCTTTTGTTCAGTTACTTGAGTTTGGTAGGTCAAAAGAAAAATATACAAAACGGGGAAGCGGTGTAAGCAGACAAGTGTTCGGAAGGGGTTTCATGCTCCTGTGGACACCCGCTGGTGTTTTACATGACCGCCTTTTTACATGTTCGTCTGTGCGAACTCTTCATGCAGTTCGTTCGGACTCAGGCTGACAGACAGTTGGTTAAACCAGACGGCAAAAACGTTTCACTGCTGCTGTGAACGATCGCGTAACATTTTTACCCAAGCAGCCCTGGTATGCTACGGCAGATTTTTTGAAACAATGTGAAGTAACTAGAAAGGATATATTTCCGAGCACTATCCAGTTCATTATCACACCCGCAAGCTTTGCAAGTTTCTTATGCCAATCTTCAACGTTTTACACGCCATGATTACTAGGTAAGACTGATTGCTGCAATGAACACTCGACTGAGCCTACCACAGGTTACAGGCGCCCACGTAATCGGCTTTAAACAAGTGCCGACGCTCTTGCGCAAACCGCGGGTCATCGTTGGAACTAATACTCGTGAAGCCCTCATAACAATCATACACAACCGCGTGGTGAAACACAAGACTACAACAAAATAAATATGTTTCTTCAACAAAGTTTGTTTGTTCTGGCCATTCTCTGCGCCTTCATTTGGAATTAACCTCTCGTGTCAACTCTGCCCCGAGACGACACGGCGTGAGGGCAGGTGCTGAATGTGATACAACCTCATCGTAACAGACGTTCTTTCAGCCAGAAGGCACCAACGTTGTCCAGCTTTTCACGGTTCGTCTGAAAGGTGCAAAAAACGAGACATCGTCATGATCCCTACCGTATGCTATTATACTATCATGTTGAACATTAAGAAAACTACCAACCGAGATGGCTGAACCATTATTTATTCCCATCTTGACTTCGTAAGTTTGAGTGAGAAGCACTACTGTACTTCACGGAAACAAGACTGCTGCAAGCCCAGCACTTTCCCAGGTGCAGTACTTATATACATACATATATATATATATATATATATATATATATATATATATACATATATATATATGTATATATGTATACAAACAAACAGCGCAAGTGTCCCTTCAAAGTTAAAGAAAAAAGCTGAGCAGATTGCTTTCAGATTCCCCCATCCAATTGCACAAAATACTGTATGGAGCTAAGTTACCAGATGAAGGAAACAAGGAAACCGGGCGACACCCTTTTCCCCAGCTCCGGTCAAGATTATACGACCTTGCCTTTGCTCGTATTCCTTGCTATTCAGTGAATGCAACCCTGCATAATTCACTCACAGGAAGGGGCATCCTCGCCGTCGGTTTTCTCAGCTTCGGCGGCTTCCTCCGGCTCAGCGGGCGGAGCCTCGGGAGCTTCAGGAGCTTCAGGAGCTGCAGCCACCTCTTCGGGGAGGACTTCGGGGACGGACGGGATCTCTTCCGGGACTACCTCCGAGGAGGCAGGGAGCTCCTCAGGGGATTCTTCAGGGACGACAGGAACCTCTTCCGAGGACTCCTCTGGAGCAATGGCAGCCTCCTCAGGAGCGGTCTCTGGGAGACCGGAGACCTCAGGATTGTACTCGGGGCCTTCAGCTCCATTGGGGATCGTCTCGGAAGCTTCCGGGACAACTTCGGGATAAGCCTCAGCGGACTGGGAAACTTCTTCGGGCTTCTCGATCTTCAGACAGCGGTTAAGGAAAATCTGATTTCTCTGAGTAGCCTGGCAACGAAGGAATCATCGGTCAGGCTGACATGTGACAGACTGCACGCAGACAGTCACTGGTGTGTACGTTGAGCGTGAGGAACAGCATGGCTGTCCCAGAATGCCGCGCGTAAATACTCGTGTAAAACTCGACATTGACTTCTAAACATCACGCCTGGTTCTTTAGCCCGTGCGCTATCAATACATCGTCGGAAGATGACTGGTCTTTTCGGGTGAAGCCTCCAGACAAGTTCAGCTGGACACAAACTGGGGCTTGACGATCAAAAACTCAATTAAACTTTGACGATGTGTCAAACTTCACAACCCTGTTTAACCACGACTTCTGGGGCTTGACGGCAGCACTTCACCCCACCGCCCTCCCTCTCCAGGTACCTGGAAGTTGATAGAGGTGTGGAAGCTGGAGAAGCTGGAGCCGACGATGTGGTAATCGGGGTCAGCGGCAAACTCCAGCAGCTCGGCGGCCGCCCCATTGGAGCCCAGACCTTCTGTCAGACACTGCAGGCGACAGAGTGAAGCGTTTCGTCAGTGACGACATGGTCGCTTGGCCACATGGCCAAGGACAATCCCACCGAGCTAATTGAAATGTTCAAACTTCTGGGCTGTGGGCGATTCCATAAATAACGATGACAGGCTGCTTGGAGAAGCTTACGAAGATTTGAGCTGATTCAGGGTTCAGTGATTAGTCCGCAGTTCCTCAAAGTCATCAGCAGAGTCGTCCACAATTCCACGAAGTCATCAGCAAAGTCGACCGCTCACCTTCTTGTAGTCGTCAGAGTACTGGCATTCGTTGGCCACGTTGAAGATGTCCCTGGACACCTCGAACTTCTTGTTGCTACACTTGGTCAAATCAATGTCTGCAAAGTAAAAGTTCACGGTCAAAACAACTTGATACCAGCATCACCACATGTCTCCGATTATCGGGTATGACCGTGCCCAACAGTGGGATAATCAAACCCACCTTTCACGTCAATTTCTTCCATACATCACTATCTTGCTGACATCATTTTTTCGTGAAAGATGTTGGGGTCATTGCTACATCTCTTGCTATTTCCTTCCACACCTGTGCTATTGCCGTTCTCCACGATTAACAAAGTTAGTCGTCAAAGCATTTGATTGTTTTGCAGTAAAGATTATTGCCGTTGCAGTATTCCACGCGTGTTACTTGAGCGATCGATTCATCGTGGCGAATATGTAAGGAAATCAGCCAAGAACATAGGAGCATCAAAGCAATGAAGTCAAAGTAGTGGACAATGATACTAAGACCGACTTTTATGCCGCGCAGACAGAATCAATTTGGTTGGTTCCGCAAGTCGCCAGCGAGCAGCGGGAGCAAGACTGTAAGACATCTGCAAATAGCATGGGAAGTGATCCTGGGCTTGTCTGACCGATGTGAGGCTGTCGGACTCGTTCCTCGACACATTCTAGCAGGCCGGCATGCTTTGCCAGAGAGTTCTCACCTGTGGGAGTCTGCGGCTCGGGCACGGCGGGCAGGAACGGGAACGGGAACGGGCCACCGGGCCGGCCGGCGCCCGGAACGAGGGGCGCCTGCCCGCCGGCCGGCCGCTGGCTGGGGAACCGCTCGGCGATGTCCGGCACCGCCCCCGGCGCGTCCACCGGGAAGAAGGGCGCGAACAGATCGCCGAAGTCGGGGAACTGGAACTGGAAGAACGGCCGTGCGGGGGCGAGGCCGCCCACCGGCCGGGCCGGAGCCAGACCCAGGGCCGGCTGAACGGGGGCGGGGCCTGGAACGTAGAGGCGCGGCGTTAGTGGCTGGCAACGCCGGCTCCGAGAATGCGGGGACGGAGGCCGCTGTAGCAGAGACGTTCGGCCGAAGCGTCTGGGTAGTGATGACCTCAAGTTGCTAAAATCAGGAAGGGGCCTCATGGACTCCACGTAAAACTGAGGCAAAAAGGTTCGCTGTAAGAAAGACTAAAAAGACTCGCTGACTTTTTGTTTAAGCCCTTACTGCGGCTTTAATGGCGCCTGACACACACCGTTGCCGTCCGACGCTCAGCAAACTATGCAAGTTAACAACAAAAACGAACGTCAGCACGCCAAGCATGACAAAAACGTCCTGGCTTCGGCTTGCCACCAGGAGACTCTCCATGGCGGTAGATGAGAACCAGGACCAGAACCAGGCGCGGCCGGGCGGCGGGCCGAGCCAAGTGGCTGCCATGTTGCACCAATGGCGTGGAAGCGGCTTAGGACAGCTCATGGGATACGTGTGAAGGATAAAAAAAGAGAGAGCGCATAAAATAGCCGGCAGCAGCGGTGCGTGGGATGGATTCAAATTTGGCATGTATTTGCACGAAGATCATTGGCGGTTGAAGTACCAGGATAGGTCTTTAAGTCGGTGGAAACTAGCTTATGCCACTTTCCAGGTTGGACCTGTTTGACCCGTTTGATACCGGCACAATTTTTCAGAGACTCAGAATGCCAAAGGGTTTTCATTCCAGAATCATGCATCATTAAATCGTAGCAATGTTTTTATATGTTTTATTAGCTGGTCAAAACCAGCCGCCGGAATTTGCTTCAGCCAGTTACTGTCAATATTGGGTTAAACACTGGCAACAACGATGGAAAACGACAAATATAACCAGTTGATGCCAGCAGCGACAAACGTTGCGAGGAAGCGACAGCACCAAATTGTACCATGCCGGAGATAGCCAGTTCGGGAGGGCACCGCTTTCAAAAAGGCGTTCTATTCACCAGCATGATGGTGAGCACTAGAAAACACGGCAGCTGAGCTTATCCGTCGCCTGCGGCCTCTGGATCTCCAGGTCACTGACCTGACAAGTCGACACGGTCGGGGTCAATGGGGGCGCTCTCAGCCGTGCCGATGCTGTTAATCTCGTCCTTAGGGCAAAGTCGGAGCGACACCGTCCGCTTCTGGGTAAACTGAAACATAGCGGGGATCGCTGCATAATCCAACACCATCGCCGGGCCGAGCAAATGATACCAGTGACATCATTCCAAAGGCAATCATAAGGAGGATTGATACGGAAATTTGCTGTTATGAAAAAAGTGATGGAATGTCCATTGAGGTAATGTTGGACGCAAATGTCGCGCCAAAGATTCAGGGATTTATTCATGTTACTTCACACTTGGCTGAACTCGCCCATTCCTTCTGACACAGCAAGATCCAGCTTGAGAACAAGATCGAGATCGAAATCATAAAACGCTCACCGATGAATGACGTTCAACCCTGAATTAGATGTGCAGCTGCCATAAAACACAAAACGCAAGACACGGCCAAGGACGCGCCTGATCCGGAGTTCACTCCACTAACGGGCCTGCACATCACGCCGCTCACCTCTCCGTTGACCAGAGCCAGCGAGATGGACGAGCTGAGGCTGGTCAGGGCGAACTGAAACACAGGGGGCGCGTCACGGTGCTGCAGGCGGGCTGAGCTACGGGGCAACAGCGGGGCTGGTGTGGACGGCAGCGCGTCGGACATTGCATGCGCTTGAAGGGAACTGCGTAAGATGCAAAGTCCCAGCTGTAAATACATACATAAATACATACATCTGCATATATATATATATATATATATATATATATATATATATATATATATATATATATATATGACAACAGGAAATCGCACAGTGTTTCAATAACAAACAATTATTTTTTGGAACCTGACAGCTTGCTTTGCTAACCGGGGATCTGAGCACATGTGAAGGCTGGTCTCAATCACGCACGCCACGCAGTTGGGACGAAACTCCAGTGTGAGCTCTGGGCCGTTGCCAGCAGACAGTGAAGTGATAACTTTTGGTGATTACCCGGTAGCCTCACGAGCATGTTATGGCCGGCAAGGCTCCAAGACGGACCATATTTGCCCACAGCCGAACGATAGCCTTGCCGTTCCTAAGCCCAGGCGGACCAGCAAACATTCCGGGGACTGTTCAACTTCCTGTAGATTTGAATGCTCTTGCCGGCCTTGAATCGCGCCCCGCTCACACAGCACCGTGGCGCGTGTCGAGCCGTACCGCACACTCTGTCCAGTGTGCCATGTACGTTATCGGATGTCTGAATTCCCAAGTTTTGGGTCTTGGTTCACAGAGTTAACACAAGCGGCCCGACCCAGAAGACATATAACCTATAACACAAGCGGGTCCCAAGCCCAGGGAGTCATATAACACAAGCGGCCCAGCCCAGGAGTCATAGCTGCTTGTCACGCCATTCATCGTCACGCCCATTGGCGCTATCCGCTTGTCACGCCATCATCGTCACACCATCGGCGTTATCCGTGACCGTGGCAATGGCCACCACTAGCGGCCATCGTCTGAGGCCGTGACAGCGCCATCGGCCACGGCCGTGATCCGTGACACGACGCCGACGGCGGCCGTTCACAGGCCGGAGCAAGGAGGACGCGTCCAACCGGCCATAAGCCTCGTGCTCTCGTGGCCGCATTCTTACCGCCAGCACAACTCTGGCGCGCTGCACATCTAGGAAATCGTGTTGAAGCATTGCGCGTGTGTTTTGCGTGAGCAGCAGAGGAGAACTGTCCTGCTGGTTAGCTCATTAGCGCTAACAACGAGCTATACTCATCAGATCGGGCATCATCAAGGCAAGTCGGGCCGGGCAAGTCAGGCAAGGCATTGGGGTATTCCATGATGTCAGGAGCTCACGCTGTTTTTGCATGATGGGATTGCGGCTACGTGCAAGCGCGGGACTGTCGGTTGAGTGACTTGTTGGCGCCTTTTTTAAAAAATCGGAACTGATTCTCACGGTCAACGACCAGGGCAAGGTGGCAGCTCTCACGGCAGGCGCGGCACCTCACGCGGAACGACTCGATGGTAACACGCCATCAGTCTCGGCTGATGCGGATGTGGGGGTCGCGCACATCGCCAGCTTGATTGTGAGAGTCTGGCCACGCTCTGCGCAGTGAAGCGCGCAGCGCATGTCCGCCAGGGCTGCTTCCGAGCCCTGGGAACGACGGAAGCGCGGTATCGATCCGGGAAAGAGTTCCCGCAACTTGGTTCGGTCATATCAGTTTATGCATGGAATAAAGTATGACTTCTCCATAACCCAGTGCTGTCGCGGATCGGGTCAAACCGTTTGGTATCAGTCAGTTCTGAGCACGACGTTCGCAGTCGGCATCCTTGGAATTGAAAAGCCCATTTTCCACAAAGGTTGCACGGCCAGGTCCTGTTAAGGCAAATGATTCCAACCGTGCGCCAACCGAGCCCTGATAATGCTATGTCGATTTGTTATGTGTTGATTTTTTTATGATCGCTATGCGTCGTGTGTTGAGCCCTGCCCTAGCTTCCACGGGCGTAACGAGGCCTAAAAGGTGAAAATCAGCTTTGGGTGATGTCGAAGGTGTCACACGGACTCAGCACAATATTTACCTCTTCCCTGTCGAGGAACTCCTTCGCCTCATCAGCGGAGGGGAGCAAACCCGCCACGATGCACTGAAACAGGCGACAGAGGCATGTCAAGGAAGCACTTTATGACCACCATCATTGGGGTGAAATCTGCCACGATGCCATGAAACAGGCCACAGAGGCATGTCAAGGAAGCACCTCATGACCCCTACACTGGGTTGAAATTTGCACGAAACCTGCTGCGGATGGCATCAGCAAACGATCTAGAACATTGGGAAGCGAGCGGGACCTCATCGTATGGTGACGTCACAGGTGAACGGACGTCGGCTCGGAGCGGGGAACGGTCCAGAGCCTGGACTGGACCCCAGACCGACCCGCTTCGGCCCAGCCGGCCAGCTCCGCTGCCGTGGAGCTGACGGCGCCGGTAGGGTCATGTCGGCCGGCAGCCTCCTTTCACTGTGTGTCAGGCGTTCGGTACCGGACGAAAAAGTGCCGTCGCCGCTTTTTAGGGGCAGCGGTGGCAAACGTGCCCCGGCGCTCGACCGCCATTGCGCCTGACAGTCCGCATGCGGTGTGCGAGTGGGGAGGGCTGGTGGCTAATGGAAAGGCCAGGCTCTGCTACAACCACGACAAACCCCCCCCCCCCCTCCCCGCTCCCCGTTCCCAAAGTAGGTCTTGGTCTTCTCGTCGACGAGAGCCAGTTCCCAGCCAGGTCGGTCGGCCGGCCGGCTCAACCGGCAGACATCTTGGAATTCTCCCGATATGGTGCCGCGCCATAGATGCCGCGAATGCACGATCAATATCACAAGTAGAGAATTTATGAAATGCCCTGAGGGTGTCCCGGTTTCGAGGATCAGCAGGCGGTCCGAACATCCGCAAAAGGTCGCAAACCTTGGGTCATATAAAATCCTGAAATTAAAGTGCACCGCGGGATTTGCTATTGGATAGATCCGGTGAGCCAGCGGCGGCACCTCGGCTGGCTATGGTTTGGGAGCTTTGCCAATCCAAATGCGCGCGGTATTCACTACGTCCGAGGTTCTCCGGCATTCATAGGATGCGACTGATGGATCCGGCCGAGCGTCAGAAAGCGCAGACAAGACGAAGTCTTCAGAAACTACGGAGATACCATTGATTTCGACTTTTTGGCACTCCGACCAGTCCACTTCGGGTGCAAGTGCAAGTTTTTAAATGCGCCATCGTCCAGAGAATGCTCAGTGTTTTTTTTTTTTAATCAGCAGTTGCTTTAACCTTGCCATACTCGATGGAGCGGTGGTTTTATCCTCGGCTGGATTTCCATCTCACTTGCTCGCTCGATAGCCGCCACTAACCCAAAAGAAGCTTACGTCAGCCTGGCTGCGCGTGACGCCCGCTTACCACCGTCTCCACAGGCGTGAGAGCTCCCTGCGCTTCACCTGTTCTCCCTCACCGGTACCGCCGCTCTCACACTCACTTCTTTAGTGAAGCACTTCACGGCAATGGAAAAGCGTCAGGCTTATTGCCGTCCATAACGGAAGAAGGCGCCCGTAAGCACGCATCACAGCGGAAACAAATCCCAGACCTGTCGAACCAAGCCGCGCATCATAAACCATGAGGCTCGTAACATCCAGCACTGCATGGGTTCTGTCGGCCGAGCGTTCGACGCGCTAGGCGACGGAGCAGGGTAAGGAAGAGCGTATGCAGAGAAAACCGGCTGGTCCGGGTTGAAATGCGTCCAGCCAGCGGCGTTCCCAAGGTCGTGCCAAAGTCATCGATGATGGCAGTCTAACCTCCGCTGGCACTAGAGGTTGACCGAGATGATATCATACAGTCGTTTAAAGGGTGCGGCAAGTGCCACGCGACCGGTTTTTGTTTTGCCAACAGTGACCTCTGCTATCGGTAATTGGTGCTGACCTCAGAGAAGGAGCAGGCGTGCCTTGTCACGACTTTGACCTTTAACACTGATGCGATAGATTTGGCTTGCCTTGTCAAGATTTCATGAAAATGCTTCGAATGTTTCAGACTTAATAAGTGATCTGGGAGACCTCATGCGTGCGAACTTTGATCAACATACCTTTTTAAAGCCAAAGACGTGTGGCAGATAATACTTAATCGGCGCATCTTTTATTCTGTGGCACCAATACGTTGCCTGAAACTTGTGGTAAAACTGCTATAAGCCTATAATAATGAATGTTGCTAAATAATGTGCTCTGGCCGTCAAGTATGCCACATTATTAGAGGCCGCAACTTGCCAAGGCATGGGCCGAAGCCATTTACATCGCCTGCGCCTAACGCAGGGAAATATTCAAGTACGACTAGCTGCCAAAAGAGGCCACCCATCGGGGCCCAAGGTCAGAATGCATGAGGTATTGGCCCGTGACGCAACTGAGCGGCCGCCGGCAGGCCAGCGCCCACCCCTGAAGATGGCTGGAGCGGGGCGAGCGGCGGGCGTTCCCCGGCCACGCTGTGGCGCCCGCAGGACGAGAAACCACGGCGCAGCACAGAGGTCAGACAAGGTCAGGCGGCCCGCCTGGCTACCGGGCCGCGCCTGACGCGGGGTTCCGGTTCAGCGGCCTGACGCCGTCCCTGCTGCGGCCCCAGAGGTCACGAGATGCTCCAGACGAGAGCTCAGCTGCCGCAGCGCAAAGCCCGGCGCACGCGAGCGAGTCCGTGTCGGTGAGGGTATGTACCGTCTCTCCACCCGCTCCTAACACCGACCGCCGAATTAAAGTACAAAAGTATTGCGCCTGAGTTCTGCTGGGTTGACATGCTGGTGACTTACATCTGAAACATCACAAGGCGAAATGTTTGCAATGGCCTCCCGCCTTCGTGTATACAGGCACACAGTGCCAAGGTATATCACGGCACCTGCTGTCACGCAGCCTGCATGGAATATGCCACAGTGGTCATCTGGTTCACAGGGGCCACCGAGCGATCTCTCACCTCCTTGAGCAAGACGTTGTCGCCGTTGTACTGTTTCTGGCAGTCCATGACGACTGAGTAGTCATCTTCGTCCAGGTCAAACTTGCCTAGGTCGCAGTCCAGCTCCTCGGGCGCGTAGGCCACCCCGGGCCGGCGCACACCTGCCGAAAACGTGTCCCAGTTAGTGTTGCCACTGGGACGTGCTACGGTTCTACCCGAGCTTGGACAGCTCGGGTAGAACCGTAGTACGTCGGGGCGTGCTTGCGACGGGAAAAGTGAAGAGATGGTAACTTCCTGGCAGTGCATCAATTCTACCGAATGCCCAGCACGGTTAAAATTGGCGAGGCAAAATAACATGAGAAGACCTATAATAAACAAACTTTGGTCAGCTTTGGCAGTGTTGGAACTTCACACCCGCGTTTCTCCAGGGAATGACGGTGTAACATCCGGTCGCCGCCATTATCTCGGCGTGAGAGGTCGCGACGCTAGATGACCAAGGAAGCTGAGTGGATTCATGAGCCCAAGATCATCAACTAGCACCGCCCGCTTTCGTTTGAAACGCACAATTGCATGTCAGCCTGGGCCGGTGTATCGTCCGTTGAGCACCTGTCGCCCGGCTCGAGGCCCAGCAGGGAGACGCTGAGCAACGCTCGGTGGCCCTCACCAACAGGGTTCGGGCTCGGGCTAGGCCCATCACACCCGTCACCACCACCCCACCTAAGATGCGCCGCCGGGGTGGTGTCGGTGCTCTGCCGCCGACCAGTTCTGCGGCGTGCGCAGAGGCCACGCCCGCGAGATTCAGGGGTCCTGGCGTCGGGGCCGGGACCATGAGCACAGGAGCCGTGGCCCAGCACGAAGTTGACTTCCGAGGCTCAACGCAAGACGACGGTAATGGGACGACAGCACTGCCAGTGGCCTCGTTGGGCGCCAAAAGCGAAGCGTTGGGCCGGAGAGCGCAAACAGGCCTCCAAACTTCCGGTAAAGGCTGTCATGGCATGGCTTGGCGGACGGCTTCTCCAGGGACACCATGTCATGGTATGGCTTGGCGGAGGCCTCTCCCGGGACACCATGCTATGATATGGCTCAGCGGAGGCCTCTCCCGGGACATCATGTCATGATATGGCTCGGCAGAGGCTTCTCCCGGGACGCCATGTCATGATATGGCTCGGCGGAGGCTTCTCCTGGGACGCCATGTCATGGCATGGCTTAGCGGACGGCTTCTCCCGGGACGCCATGTCATGGCATGGCTCAGCGGAGGCCTCTCCCGGGACGCCATGTCATGATATGGCTCAGCGGAGGCCTCTCCCGGGACGCCATGTCATGGCATGGCTTAGCGGACGGCTTCTCCCGGAATACCATGTCATGGTATGGCTCGGCGGACGCCTCTCCCGGGACGCCATGCGCGGTCCGGTCGATAGCACTGGGCGCTTCCGAGGCCTGGAGGGTGACGTTGAATGTACAGGACAGCTTTTTCAGTGCAGCTACGTCAGCGTAGCCGCACAACTTGTGTGTTGCATCTGTCCCTAGTCACATTGATGAAATCTTAGAAAACTCGGGCGTATCTCCTGGTTCCATCATCCGTCAAAATGCGCGTCTCGAGCTTGTTTTCCACTGAAAGGCGTGCTATATGAAACTGTCGCACACCACAAAATGCCAACCTCGTCTCCAGGAAATCTAAGTTTTTTCTGATAACCGACGGGGCGATGGATGGAGGTCTTGTTATGCAGTGTGCGCTCCAGTCGTCCACACCGAGATAACCGGTATCCGGATCTGATAAGATAATGTCAGGCACACACTCGTACAGTCTGTCATCTCTCTTTCATGAAAGGACCGGAAAGTTCCAATTGATGACTTTTTGGATGGTCGTAGCGTCCAGCGCGAATATCGCCCACACCCGACGGTGGGTGTTCTCGGTCCACACAGCGAGCGACACGACGCGGGTTACCGTATCTGCCCACAGTGCAGTACGGAGCATGTATACGCATTTGCGTCAAAGAACGGTGCGCGCTTTTGACCAGCCAATAATAAGCTGGCAGCTTGCCAGAATAATCATGCTGGTATGGAGTGGCCGTGATGTGGCGAAAGGACGCGTCACAAGTGTCTTTTCCGGCCCTTTTTCGATTGAAGGACCGAGGCCAAACATTTCTTTCCAATAGGAGCTACGTTAATGGCGAGGCTGGCACCGGGCCTTCCCATCAAGCATTGTTTTCTCTGACTCTGATCCTCAAGTCTTTCACGCCTTGGAAAGATTATACAGAACGGGAAAACATTACAAAGAAAGAAATGCTTATTCATGCCCGCGTCATCGGTGGTTACCAACCGAAATGCAAGGATTCCGGTTTTTCTGACGCAAATTTCCCAGCAATTTTGGGGGATATTACTCTCGATCCAAAGATATTGGCATTTCAGGAAATTTGTGACCGCGGACAAATCAAGTGAGGCAGACCAAACTATGTTTAGGCCAGATCAATCGGACCGTGTTTTTACCCTCATAGACAGAGTAGTTAGGGAGGCCCTAAAAATGCATGCCCGCTACAGCCAGTCACAACTAATGAGCCGCCAAGAAGTCGATAATTAACATAGGAAGCCATCACAACTCAGGTTACTGAGAACGGTGTTCACGCGCCTGTAGAAATCATAGTTCTCACGAACGGAGAAATTACGGACATCCAAGTAAAGCCAAAAAAAGATTCTGCCCGAATTCCGAGCTGATTCCGTTGTCAACACGCCGTCCCGAGGCTCGTGTTGTACCCATGCCTACATGCACAGGTGACCCTGCACGAGAAGAAACGGGGTCGGTCGACCGTGTAACGGTCGTGCTTACACACAAAGCGAGGTGGAAACAACGGACGCGGTAGGGCGCCGGGCGTTCACCTCCGTATTCTAATAGGCCTCAGTTGCGTCGTCACGGCGGTGGCTGCGGTTTTGGGGACCGTGCAGTTTGCACGGAAAGGCGTGTGGGAGCACGCTGCGGGCTAGGAGGCGTGTAAAGTATGTCCGTGGCTCATTGAGGCAACGCTTATGCCGGACAAGTGAGTGTGTGGACATGGAACGCTTGACGACTCCGAAGTTTGTCAAGGAATAGGCGTATTTTGGCCTGAAACATTGCGGTTTTTTATCTGATTAATCTGAACTGAAGGACACTCCTTGACACCAACAGCATTGAATTTTACGGATTGGCGTTAATCTAATCTTTAGTTTTGTGCGTGCATTGTACTCCGCGTATACTGTATCTTCTCACTTCCATGCTCAATGCCTGAGTAACTCTGAGAAGACTATTCACGTTCCAGCAAGGCTGCATGATAGTTGTGATGCCCCGGCACCAGCAAACATCCTCAGCTCTCGTTAAGTCTAATGTCTGCGGGTTTGTGGATATGAGATGCATTCTCCAAGACGACCGGCCGCGGCTTCGTGGCGGATCGTTTTGTGGTTTCGAAGATTTCAGAGAACGAGTTCCGGGAAGAACCAGCGAGACCGGTTTTGTTTTGGCCGCCTCCTCCCAATCTTCTTTCATGTAAATTCCACATTCGGACTTCTTCTTTGCTCGCCCTACACATGTAAGTATCGTCCCCTCCACTTATCCTATCCTCTTTCCCTCTCCCTTACCACCCCCCCCGTACCTTTGTGCACGTCTTTCTCCCCCTCTCTTACCTGTAACTCATTCCACTCTCCCCTCTGTCTCCGCCCCCTTCTCTGTTTTTTTTTTGTTCCTCCCTCCGTTCCCGTATATTATCTTTCTCTCTCTCCCTCTCTCTCTCTCTCTTCTCTCTCTCCTCTCTCTCTCTCTCTCTCTCTCTCTCTCCTCTCTCTCTCTCTCTCTCTCTCTCTCTCTCTCTCTCTTTTTCTCTCTCTCTCTCGCTCTCTCTCTACCTCGCATTCCCTCTCACCCTCCCTTTCTTCTCTCGCTTCCTCAGGACGTACCTGCGAATACCCGGAGCGGCTGGAAGAGGGCCGACAAGTCAATCTTCGGCAGCTGGAAGGCGAATAAAGCGCCATGGCCGCTGTGGTCGTCCTCCAGCAGGTCCATCTCGTCCGACCGGTGCTGGATCATCGGCTCGTCCAGCTCACGCAGGAGGAACGGCACTGAAAGGGATCGGCCGTCACTGCCTATCGGCTGCACCGGCGAGGGGGGAGAAAAATGCCTTGAGCTCACCTGATCAACGAGTGTTTAGTGCATGGAGCTGTTAGAAGAACTTGCAAAACGAGAACGTGGTGCAAAACGAGATGGACGTGGTGGGCGTAGTTTTGGATCTGAGACGGTCTACACGTACCAGGCTCACAGGCAGTGGCCATCAACAACTAGCTAGACATGTCAACAAAACTCCAGCCCGTCACCAGATAAGCCCTCACCCCTAGTGGCACAGCGGGGACTCAGCGCGTGACGCCGCCCCAGTCCCCTTGTGACAGTCCCACCCCGGCCCTGACCTGAACCTGGCCGGTTCAGGTCATCGTTCTGGAAAGCTCCCTGACCAGCGACACGCACGTCAACGCGTCGTGCCGACGCGTCACTACGGGAGACCAGCTTTCACCGCGATTTTCACCGCACTCGGCTGCACGGCCAACCTCTGAGCGAGCAAGCGCCGCCCTACGCTGGACTAGCGGTACGCTGCTTCGGTGCCCTCCCTGCTCTCCTTCGCCTAGCGAGGTCATCGGTCATCTGGTGTCGCTATTGCTTGTATTTCCTCTCGATACGTTCACAGGGCCTACGCATACCACCCTTCCTTTGAGCAGCAGTGAAACAGGCTGGAAGTGTTAAGAACATGAATAGGCTGGTTCTCTTAACTTACTGATGCAAGCCTTCAGATAGAGAATGCTTCATTGTTGCCAAATATTGAAATTGTAGTATCCAGCAAAGACGCAATGTCGCAACAGAGGGTGCTCTGGTAACATCTTACAGAGCCAAATAGCATAAAACCAGTGTGGAATCTGGACATGATTATATCCGTAAAAACACCGGTACTTCCACTGTTTATATCTTGCAAGCCAACCACCACCTAAATTATTTGAATTAGGTGCATATGGCCCATCCTCTGAACTATGCACACTGCACACTGTCAATGGGTCACTCTTCTACGGTCGGTTTTGCTATGTAATATTTAAGGGTGGCCTGCCACCGCCCTCCGGTGGCACCACTTTACTGGCTATACCATACTGACCATATAGTTTCACCTAGACGGGGCTTGGCCTTAGTGGGTGGGTCACTTGTTAGTGTTAAGTTGGGCATTACCATGACTGAAACTACATGACGGCATAAAAACTAAAACTACATGACTAAAGCTACATGACTAAAACATGACTAAAACACAAGTCTCATCATGATGCACAGAAATACAATTTTGCACAAGATGCAGGTTGGTTGGCGCAAACATCCACCGTTACAAGTTGAAGGTAACTAGTCCACATTGAATGCCACCGCACTTGTTGGAAGCCTTTTGCCCCCATTACCGCATGATCTCATTTTGCTCATCAACGAATGAAATTAGATTTTTTATTAAACGCACCTTGTCGGTAAGGCATCCCACTTTACCAACCTACGCATGCGCATCCAGCCATCCATCTGAGACATCGGTACGCTCAACCTAACTTCCATTGCGTCATTTTCCGACATTTCTGTGCTTCCTAAAGCACTGTCTTCACATCTCCCGTGACAGTCATCAACAGGCGCAGAAAGCACCCCCGGAGCACATTTGCGATAGCCGAGTGTTAAAAACGCACGAATCTGCCGGGAGACGTGATGCCCACCATATGCCAGCGCCCAGCCCCGCGGCCCGGTCCACCCCTGCGTCGCCTCCGTCCCCCCAGCGCTGCGCAGCAGGCCGACCCAGCGCAACCCAGCCGCGACCAGCGCTACTCACCGGCGCGGGCGGCGCCCAGCAGGGCCAGCAGCGGCAAGCAGGCAACCTCATCTCGGCTTCAGCGTCGCGTCTCGACTGGCCGGGCGGCGCGGTGCGGGACGGTCGGCGGCGGCGCGGGGCGGCGCGCGCAGGCGGCTGACCGTGCCGCCCACCGTCGGGGGTTTAAACCGAGGCTGGCCGGTGAATCGGGCCGGACCGGTTGCCGGCAGGGTGGCTGGCCGGTCACCGGTTACCGGCTGACCGGGCCGGCGGGCGGCAACCCAGCTGCGCTTCGTGCTGAACGGCGGCAGGTCGCCGCCGAGAGCCGGGCGGGGAGGAGACGGCACCGTCAGAGAAGGCGGCTTTGTGCTCGCATCGGCGGGGCCACGGGTCGCGGAGGGCGGACCTGGGGCTGGATCAGTCGTCTGAGCCCGGCTGCAAAACCGCTGACCAGGCAGGGTCGCAGTCGCCTGGGACCGGCCTGTAGAGCCGCTCTGGAGCGGTCCGCGGGCGGTGAGGGACCGCTGCCGGCCGGTTACGTGATCCCGGCGGCTGTTTGTAGGTCAAAGCCAGGTCATAATGAGTCAACGTTAGCTATTTATGTAAAGGATTTCACATTCACCCGAATATTTGCGACGATGGATTTCGGGTCCTGAATTTCGTCAAAACGACTATACCACACGTTACGTCCAAAATTCCATCTGTATATAATGCCCCGCAATATCAAACATTTCTGAAGTCAAGTGCTAGGTCTGCGTTCCCCAAATCGGTCTTTTGAAACTCAAAGGTTGTGTTGGAAAGTTTTCCTGCATTTTTGCACGTTTTCTTTTTGTTCAACCCGAGGTCATCATCATTTATGATGTTGATTTCGCTGGCATGGGTTTCAGCAGCGTCCCACAAATAGCTATCTGCAGCTGCATGTGTCCAACAATTGAGTTACGCACTAGTAAGCAGTTAGGGTCAAAAATACAAACTATTTTGTGGTAATGTTTTGCTTAGCACCAAAGTTTGAAAAGTACGAGCGATTTCCAGTCCAAATGGCTTATTTCGGTTTTTATAAGGACCCAGAGGTACGATCCTTTTGAGCAGTTGTTGCTAGGGCACTGAACACACCAGCCTAGAGCCCTAGATCTTTCAAGATCAACAGTTGGCTTTCGCCGGCAGATCTTAATGTATCATATAGAGCTTTATCATGGCTGTCCAGTGGCTGCTAACTCTGCTAATTGCCAATTGAGCGTCACAGAAAAAATTTCATCAGCGCTGATCCTGCGCTGGCCGCAAAGTGACCATTGCAATGGACGCGCCCCAAAACACCAATAAATAACAAAAAGCTGGTTCTGCAATGCCGACCCACGTGTATGTGGGCGTCATGCGGTCGTCGATACCCAGCGCTTTACAACTACAGCGACGGCGAACGGTAACGAAGCGCTGTAACGTATGCGGCGTTACGCGGTATGCGGGTCCGAATGTGTCGGCAGAACAGATGTTAGGTGTTGCTGGACTGGACTTCCCGTGACTTCCGTGACGTCTTCCCGTGACTTCCGTGACGTCTTCCCGTGACTTGGACTTCCCGTGACAGATCAGCTTGCTTGCATGCACACAAAGCGGCGGTAGCTTCATGACGTGATGATCGGTAATAACCGTCACACGACGCGGTAAAACGAACACTGAATTGCTGTTTGGTGCAGCGGTAAACAGCGAGTCCTGGGTCTTTCGGGAGGACAGTTTGCTACTCAGCTAACCATCCACTCCAGGACGGGGTTATCAGAGTGGGATATAAATCTAAATAGCTAGGGGATGTGGTCTGTGGCCTCAACACGTACCCATCACGGGACGTAAGCACGCTGACGGGCAGCTGAACCTTTTCCGTTTTCCATCAGTATAACGGATCAAAAAACCGAACGGATATCCAGCTGATCAAGGAGGAAATCACAAGACGATAGTTTATCAATGAAACGAGATTCAAACCACAGAATGATTAGTAAGCATGAAATCCGTCAAGATTGCACGGTCTGACACCTAGTATTTTCCAGACAGTTACAGGCGCAGATGACGCTGGGTGTCGACACTCCAGTCACGTATGCGGTAAAGATGGGCGGCAGGGGAAACGCATCCAGTCCATATCAACCATGCTAACATCACGCTCACCTGTACAAACGGAAAAAAACGCTGAGCACCGTCTACGGCACAGCCTCACTTCCACACCCTCCTAGGCAGCTCTGGCTTAGGCATAGGCAGCTTCATATGTGTCTCGTAGCTCCGCTACCTAATCGGGCCACCTGTGGCCATCATAAACTGTACATGATTTGTATGCTTGCGCCCTAGAGAGCCCTTTGCGTTATGAACGTATATCAACGACGTGTGCTTAACGGAAGCGTGTATTTGGTTCACACGTATTTTATTGAAATACTTATTCTGGGTTCCTTTACCCAAGCGGCGTCGAATTACACTCCCTGCACTTTTGCTCTTGGGCCCTGCACCGAGCCAGCGTTTCAGAAGCTGGAAGACACAGTTCGTTCTGTCGTCAGCACGTTTGTCAACACCAATCACGGCCCACTACTCGCCTACGTCACGTCACGTGACCGCAAAGTCACTTAGTCTCTTATGTCTACCGCCGGCTGACGATGGCCTCGCTCGATCTGTCATCATAACGATTGTCAGCACCGTTCATGGCCCAGTGTTCGCCTTATGTCATGTCACGTCACCTCAAAGTCACGTGGCCTATAACGTTACACGCCGGCTGACGATGATGGCGAATACTGGTGGCGATGATGATGATTTTCAGTCAGCCTGTCAGGATGGGGAGAAAGCGCTACCAGATTTTTTTCTTCAAAATCACTGACTGAAGCGGGAGTTTGATTTGGTAGCTCTTGCGTTGGCGAGTGCGTTGGGTGGAGTGGGCATATACGAAAAAAAATATGTGCGGAGTGGGCGCACTCGTCTCCCATTTTGGGGAAAATGCGACATAAGATGAGAAAGGAATGAAATGAAATACCAAAAGTAGGCATGAAAAGGTGAGTGACAGTGATTGGTAGGGTGTGTGGTTGCGTCACCCAGTAAATTAATAGCCTTGTAAGTAGACATTTAAAGTGAGAGGGACGAAATTGGATTGAATTGGAAACGGGAATAAGCACTCAACATACGGATGGAATAGATGATGGTAATACTGGAACAGAACTGACACTTTCTAAACACCACCTTGTACGCAGTGTGTCATGGTCGGTAGTAAGCCAAAGTGAGCGTGGGCTGAAATAAATGATAAAAGAAGAAGGGGAAAAAGTAAAGTGAAAAACTTTCCTGTCAGCTCTGTCATCAACGCTCCGCCAGTCCCGCACGACGTCACGCATTCCAGCTGACAATCGTGCTGACGACAGATCGAACGCGGCCACAGCATTCAACGCTTATCGTTGTGTTCTATGCTTAGCGGACTCAGGCGAAATGATACCATCTAGAGACTTATTCCATAGCGTTTGTCAAGGCGAGAAGTTCGAAACCTTTAATGGGGCTGAAACGATTGTTATTCATTGTATGCCTGTGATGTTCCCTGTGAAAAGGGAGTCATCCGACACAATCGCATTATAAGGCAATGGTACTCTATCCAGGTCGAGGTCAATATTAGATGTAACACGTCCAGGGAGCGTCTCACTGATCTCGGACTGGTGTGCATGTAATCTTAGTCAGGCTTCGCAAAAAAAGATGTTGGACTCGGACCTCCTGCCAAAAGATTTGTAAAGCCTCGGTACAAAGATTTGCAAAACCTCGGTACAAAGTGAGATCCCGACTGGCGTTGGCTGGAAGTTTTTTTCTGCGGGTAGCAATCCAAATGTAGTCGAACCGTGGTCGTACCGGAGCATCGTGTTAAAGCATTTTTTTTATTTTCCAGCAGATGGCTTAAGTTGTAATATCCCGTTCCCATGTGTGCGTACTTGAACTCTGAAATGCAACAACGATGATTTTTCTAGGTCGACGAGCCATTTGACACTCTCTGCTCTAATACAATAAACCTACATACGACTCTGGCCAAACGTCAGAAGCTGCCATATCGTTGAACACCTTATCATGCACGGATATGTATCATTTACATTCTGAATAATATGGCTGGTATTGAATGTGTGTTCCATGATGCGCCCCCTCATTATGGCTGAAGAATAGCAAACTGTCTTTATTTCGTTCTCCCATAGCCCTCCTGGCGTACGTCGAGCAGCATCACAGCAGGTCATAGCGCGAAAACCGAGACGCTGGTGAAAGTAATCGGATGGTGAATGCGGAGCACCTGGCGGCAGCATGTGGTGATAGCTGATGTGGTGCATGTGGAAACCGTTACAGCAGAATATTTAGTTACACGTGACTGCAAACAGGTATCATGCTGATTGATAGCCATGGTGGAGCGGCCTGTGAAACCGAGTTTTCCCTCTGCATCTCTGTCCTTATTAGTAAAATCCCACCAACGATGTTCCGCTGTGTGTAATGTGATGAGTTGATATACTTAAAAGTAAACCAATGCACGTTTCGTCGCTGTGTAACAGAGTGCCCTCGAACACATTCAACCCTTGAACTGCCAAGCTTCTTAGAACCTCGGGTCCCAAAAGTTCTCCGGTGATCTGCTTCGGTTTCCTGTCTGAGACTTAAAAATAAACGTCCTAGAAACGTTTTCCAGCACCCGGCAACACTTATTACTGACGGCAGCGCGAGAATTGTCAAGTAAAGTAGCATACACAGAGAGGCAACATGCTTCGTCATCGAGCACTCTCAAATGCAGCGTTGTTTTCCCTTTGTTTTTGGTTGGTGCGTCATATATTAGAAGCTGTATTAGAACGTCCACCCCACATTAAGGATTTCCGCTGATCTGGAGCGACTTAAATAACAGCAAACTCCAGCAGCTGACCTTTCACATCGATTTTTGCACAAATATGTATCTTTAAGCTTTATTGTATACTGACATGTCAAGCCTCTACCACGTTTGCTAATTGGTGTGAGCTTGTCTCGTTCTCCGAACCACCAATAGTCAGTACTCCGACTATCACTCACGTAATGTACGTGCGCCACGTACAGATTCCAGAGGTGCAGTCAGCCGAGGT